CAAAAATACCACTAATTATGAATTTTTTTAGAACCTAAATCTTAAAATTCTAAATCCTAAAAAATGTTTTGACCCCTAAAAATTTCTAAACCTTCAAAACTAAATCCTAATACAACATAATTAACCCAAATATAAATGATATAATGAATAAATAATGTTGATAAAGTGATATTTTTGCAAAGATTTTGAAAAAGTGGCATTTCTCAAAATTTATCATAAAACTTTTGTTTAATAAAACTAAATATTTATGTTTAAAAATGTATTAAATTTTACAAAATAATAATTTTTATTAAATTGTTTTGTAGACCCAACTTATTTTATCAATATTTTTCGTTTATAAATGGATTTTAATATAGTCATCCAATTTTATATATCATAATTAGTTATATCTTAAACACTTTCCTCTATTTTTAAGACTATATTTTAGATGTAATTTTTGCTATCTTAAACATTTTTATTCTGTTGATATTTCTTATTATCCTGACATTTTTTTTTGAAATAAAATGTATAATGTTACCATGTTTCCAATACTTGAAATTCTCTACAATATAACTAATAACAGCAGGTTAATTTAAAATAAACATTTAAGCATAGTATTTAAAATTATTTTACATATCTAATTTTTAACCAAAGTATCGTATACTACTTATCATATTGGCTCAGTTTTCTTCAATCATACAAATTTAAAAACATGAAACTATGAAATTAATGAGTAAAATTTATAAGCAAAGAAAACTAAGAAAATAAAAAAAAATTAGGTCACATGTACTGTGGGTTCCACTAATTCCTCGTAATTCTATAAGAGTATCCGCATTGGAGACAAATGTGGATGTCTTTAAATATAAAATTATTAAAATTTGAGTAAAAAGAAGAAAGAGAGTGTTTTTGGTTGAAATAATGGGGTGTATTGAAATATAAAATTAATAAAATTTGAGTAAAGAGAGGAAATAGTGGATATTGTTGGAGAGATTGTGTCTTTAGGAAGACATAAATAGTGACTTTTGGAGAGAGAATATGGGTGTGTTTAAATATAAAATTAATAAAAGTTGAGTAAAAGAATGAAAGAGAAGGTATAAAATTGAGTAAAAAAAAGAGAGAGTGTGTTTTTAATATTTGTTTATTTAAAGACATCCACAAAAGATGACGAATGCGGATGGTCTAAGGACCGATGATTAAAGAATATAATATAATGGTTTGTGGTAGTTGTCGAGAAGTCATCTTTGTATTCAAACTTCTATAATACAATTTGTTGACAAAAAACCACTTAATCTTTTTTAAATTTGTAACTATCGGTACAGTTAATTTAACTCATATCAACCCACATAATGTATTATTATGATCAAACTTTGTGTTTAAACTTTTGGAAGCTATAGATATTTTAAAGGGTCAATTGTAAGATTAACCAAAAATAATAATAATTCATTAACTAACTAAAATGAGTTTATGTGGCTTAATGAAATCTACTAAAATTAGGGTAATTAGTTATGTTTTAAATTATATATATTTTTTTAATGTTATTGAGCCCAATTTCCCTATTTTAAAACGATTGTGGTCTTTTTTTTTTTTTAAATAAAAATAATCATCACATGGCATTCAAACAAGTCAGATTCTAAGTAGAAGCCAAACGAGAAAAAAAAACAACTTAACTATTAATTGTTGAAAAAGTAATTAACCACATTTATAAAATACAATTTTGTTTACGTTATTTTATCCAATTGTCCGAACCATTATTTATATCACTAAATCAAAATTTAAGAAAAGCAATAGCACTAAATAGCCACTTTTTGTTACTCATCTGTAAAATCGACAAATAATGGTAGCTTATTCATCACGTTTATTTTAATTCTAAAGAGGATAGTTTTGTATGTTTATTCAAAAGTATCATGTTGTTCTCTTTATAAAATGATTATAGTAAATTAGTATAGTCTTAGTTTTAGTTAAAAGGATAAATTTGTGGGA